TCGCCTGCATAGGGCACTTTTCAGTTGGACCAAGATAACCAAGAATGTATTCACTTTGAATTTCTTCTGACCCGACATTTCATCCATCACACTTGCGGCATCTCCGTCATCTACTGTTCTCCTGTGTACACGTGCTCTCCGACTGTCTGATTTATTTATGCTGCTTCCATATCGGTCACATGCCTTGTCATGGTAATAGTCAAACTTTCCTCGACACTCACCTATATATTATGTGTCTAAACTTTCTAACAATCCAATGACTGGGCTTAGTTCAATAGTTGAACTTCGTAGCAGTTTACTTCAGCAATTGAAACGATGTAAAATGTCATTCCAAAGTTCACACATGAAAGCAACTTCAATTGTGTTCATATAACTTGCAAGTGCGCCAGCTCCGTGCTTCGTGAGACCATTCTGGTCAATATCCTCTGCAATCTCTTGTAGAGCACTTTGGAATTGTTTGTAGCCCCTAAAGACTGTTTCTGTCGCATCAGCCCGGGCAGACCACCGGGTATCAGATGCGTGTTTTGGGACAAGACATTCAGGATTTTCCTCAACGTGTCGTAATAAAATATTCCGATGATGAGTTGATGCAAGAAAAAATGAATACAAGCGCTGCAGGAACTGAAAGAAAGACACAGCTTCCACACAGCAATCTACAGCTGATTGACCAACTAAATTTAGAGAGTTGCCTGCGCACGGAATATAATTGTCCTTGGACCCAACGATTTCATTACTGGCTCGAAAAGCCAGTCCTCTCTCAAAAGGGAAAATGCTTGTCTTAATACAATGTAACAAAATGTTTTTCAGTATTTTCGTTGTTCCAGTCAGTTTTGGTGTAACCGCTCGTCAACTTGCCCACCAGCAACACTACGTTGACATAAAGTCAAGACTGAGTTTATATTTTGGGACTTGTTTCATGTGTTTTTAAATAGTTGGTTATATTCTTCCAATCTGTAAACCCCTGACCAGAAAGATGTATGCAGTCTGGCGAAAACAAAAAGCAAGGGAAACAGAAAACACAGGCTTTGGGTGGAGAACATACTAGCCAGTCACGATCAACTACTTCTCCATTTGACAAAATACGTTTGAATGCACTGTTATTTAAATACCGATTCACGCCAGAAAAGTCTCGTTTTGTCTCTGGATAGACACTGGCCAAATTCCAAAACTGGTTTGCACCGCGAGTTATGCACATTTCAAGCACACCGTCCGTTATGTCACCTAGAAGCCCTACATCATTTGCTATTGTTCCTGAAATATTATCAGTTTCGACTGTTTTAGCATCAGCTAGCTCAGCTTCAGCAGTAGGCTCTTCTTGGTTGCTGTCGATTTGAGATAAAGAAGCTTCACCACTAGCTACCCCAGCCCCAATAGTACTAGCAGTAGACTTTTATTGGTTGCTATCGATTTGAGATGAAGAAGCTTCGCTTCTACTTTTCTTTTTAACATGAAAAATTGAAGTCAGTTTTGTTAATTTTTTTTAGATCTTCTCCTTCTTTAATTTTCTTCTCCAACTCCTTCGCTCGTTCCCGTCCACTCTTTCGTTTTTGCATTTCAAGATACTAATCCTAGCAGACACTGAGGATAAGCATGCACAAGAAAAGTACATTATGAAGTAACGTGGTAGGGCCTATGTTGTGGTAGTGGTGGTGGTGATGCTGCTGCTGCTGCTTTTGTTGTTGTTGTTGTTGTTGTTGTTGTTTTTGTTTGTTATTGTTGTTGTTTGTAGTTGTTGTTGTTGTTGTTGTTGTTGTTGTTTTTTTTGCTGCTGCTGCAATGGTTTGCATTATATTATGTCGATTCTGGTCTCTATCAGCATCCTCATTATTGTATATTATAAGCAAAGTACTAGTTTGTGTACTACTACTGACTAAGATCAGAATGCAGTCATACTGCATAGCCGCTGTCAAAATAAAAGATATCCAGTTGAAACCAAAGCTGCCGTTTAAAAGACCTTCTCCCACACATACACACAAACATTCCTGTCTCTCCCCCCCCCTCCCCTGCCCCCAATCCCACCAACTCTCACTTTCTCGTTGGGTTTCTTCATTTTCCTGTTAGTATGAAGAAAAATTTGTTCGCGTAATTTAACATCTAGTTTTACCGACATATGATAGCATTAGTATTGAAAATAACTATTTGGCCCTCTGTTGCTTAGGCTAGCAATATGTAAGTCATAAATCATAACTCACAAGGCATTTATAAAGCTCCCACT